ACACACACACACACACACACACACACACACACGCGCGCGCGCGCGCGCGTGCTCAGAAAGCAAAGAACTGTTGCAGCTCTGCGAAATGAGAGCGATCATTCGAATACAGGGCGCATTGCCAGCTCAGTCACGCTTCAAAACACCTCACAGGTCCAAGCCAATGGATCCATGCATGCTGAGGCACTGAAGGTCCTAACCTACAGCTTGATGAATCCAGTTGAGTGATGACACACACACACACACACACACACACACACACGTGTTCAAAAGGCAAAGAACGGTTGCAGCTCTGCGAAACGAGAGCGATCATTCGAATACAGGAAGCATTGCCAGCTCAGTCGCGCTTCAAAACACCTCACAGGTCCAAGCCAACGGATCCATGCATGCTGAGGCACTGAAGGTCCAAACCTACAGCTTGATGAATCCAGTTGAATGATGATTCCATGTTGATAAGACTCCTTCCTTACCGACACATCCCAATCACAGATTGACTGTCAAACCCCAGTGCAACAACACTCCCAGGGTCTCTGATTCGTGTCTCAGAGCTGTCTTTTTGCATGTCTGTTCCACAGTGACCGTTCATGTTGCTGCAGAGACTGGTATTTGTAATGACCAAATCAGATTTGCAATTACATACCATGATGTTTATACAGGTCTTGCCTGTGCACACCTTGACATCTGCACCTGTTCTGGTTGCTTGTCCTAGTGCAGAGACTCCAAAAACTATATATATATTGTCACACTGTGAATCAGAGCGTGAAGGCGAAAAAAGCAAAACAAGAAAGGAAAAGAAGGAAGGAAGGAAAGCCCCACCTGTTCATCACCTCTTACATACAAGGCCAGACACGTGGATGAGAGGTTGAGCGCTGGCTGCCCCCATCCCCGTGTGTCACAAGGACCCACTTGCACGCAGCCAAAAGGCAAAGAGGTAAAGAAAAGGAGAAGGAAACCAGACCTCACAGAGTTTTCACAGAGTTTCCACCTTTGTCACACTTCTCACACACATCACACACCACCGGCATGACAGTTCCTATCCAATGTCACGCCGATGGTGTGTGACATGTCATTCTTCTAATGCTGTCCGCTCTGCGACAACTTCCAACCCCATGTAAGTTGTGACCTTTCTAACAGATTGAGCGCGCAATTACCGATTCTCACCACCTTGATGTTCCATTTACAATTGTTTGTAACCCATGCACGTGCAAGGAACCAAGCAATGAGAACACCAATAAACCAGATTGCGACATCTCACAGAAGTCCAGACATAATTGAGCCAAGTGGAAAGCAGAAAGTCAAAGCGAAAACAAAACACACCTAATAGGAGCGAGCAATACACCAAAGTCTCTTGATACAGAAAGAGCCCTTACATCGCCTCCAATCATCAAAACAACGACAATGCAGTACTCCTATCGGTGTCCTGAACACCCTCCCTACTTCCTAGCTCCAGCAGTCTAGCCTATGTAAATGCCAGCTCTGTCCACGTGTCAATTGCCCAATGCTGCTCGAAGACTCTGCTCACACAGGCTTCCTTCATCAACACCAGGTAAGCGCCTTCAGGCCCCACTGCCTCCCTTCTCCTGCCGACCTCCACACCTCCACCACTCAGCAAAGCTCACGGCCAGCCAGCTGCGACTGGCGCTTTGCATTCCTCTCACTGCCACCACAGCAGCCTTCCTTCCACAGGCACAGCGCTCAGCTGCCGCATGAGCAGCACTGCCGCACTGGCACAATGCTGCAAGCATGTCTGCCTGGGCGGCCTCCTCTCTTTTGTGCTGCCTGGAGAGGCCGCACCCACGGTCGTGCAAGTCCCAGTAGCCAGTGCCTGGGGCCTACTGGGTTGTCGTGCAGAGCAACCAACTCGCAGTCTGGGCCTACCGGTCGGTTACAAAGTTTGGTGCTGCCAACCACCTGGGGCCCTCGTTCAGCCGGGCCCTCGTTCAGCCCGCCCTTCACTTAGTGCCAGCTTCAATTTACCTGGCCCGCCTTCACTTAGGGCGAGCAGGGCCTTTCCTGCACGGCCGAGGGCCTCCTCGCACATGTGAGTTTGTGCACACAACATTGTGTTCATCGACGAAACGCTTGCAACTTTGCATTCTGAACTTGCCATTGTCTACAGGACATGAATTGAACGTTCCCTTTGCAAATAGCTCAAGTTGTCTTTTACATCTGCCGCTGATGACATAATGTCTGATCAGACGATTCCCAAGCACTCTCCTTTGGCATACCAGCTGTCCAAAAGTTCTATCTCACAGACGGCACAAACGCCACAGAACCGACATTTGCTGCACAAACACCAGAGAACTGGCATAGAGAGCTGCCATAAGCTACCTCCATGTCAACAAGGCAGGTGAGATAGAGAGAGAGAGAGAGAGAGAGAGAGAGAGAGAGAGAGAGAGAGAGAGAGAG